ACGGTTGCGGGAGGATCAGGCAAAAAACGAAAGCTGGCTGTCTGGAGCAGTTCTAGCCCATGAAAGGCCGTTTCTTTTTATTCAAAGATCCAGTCCCTCTGGCACTCTCCGAGTGCTGATTCAGGCCACAGCGTCATCAGTGCTCCCCGGGCATTTGTCTTCTGTAGAATGTGACAAATTCCTAAAACCATGTAAATGGGATGTCTGCATTTCCACGGCCAACAAGTGCCAGCATTAAGTACCGTGGTTCTCAGATAAAGACACAGCTGGCCGAGACCAGCTGCGGTTCTACCCCATCCAAACCCGGTTTTTAAAAACACCCCTTCGCCGATTATTCACAGAATGCCTTCTCCTCTCTCAGTTCCTCTGAGAGAGAATTAGATTTGTTTGGATTTGACAAGGTTGTTCAAAAATACAACAACACAGGGAAATAAAATAACAAAGAAGCGAACCCAGAAATCCCGCAAACGACAGAAGGGAAATCAGTAAGTTGAAAGTTAAAGAGAAGAAAATTACCCAGAAATCCCAAAAGGATGGGGAGAAGGGGGTACATACGCCCGCCTGATGTACACCACGGGTAAAAAGGCGTGGCCCCCCATCAGTAACTGAAAGGTAACGGGAGACCAGACGCCGAATCAAGGAGCGCTCGCACGCTCTAAGGTACGTACCCTACTTACGCCGGTCTGCACAGAGTCAGAACACAGGGAACGACCACCGAACTACCTGGGGCGGGGGGGTGGGGGTCAGGGAAGGAGTCACAGGGAGGGTGACGGCTGCGTCCCTGCTGGACACTGATCGGCAAACAGGCGAGGACTGAGTTCTGTGCGTGCTGACCCAATGCTCAAGGAAAGCGACCAAACCAAGACGGCGGGTCCTTGCAGGAAATCCGTTCCGACAGAGGACGATGTCCCTGGCTCCCCGGTGGCCCTCCCTGCCACGGGCTCCGTCCCCTGTGGCTGTGGCACGCCGGTCTCGGCCGGCCCCGCACAGCCCTCGCCACTGGCCACTGTCCACCTGGCGGGGTCAGCTCACCGATTCCAGGGCTCTCTACTCTCCCCACTCGGGCGTGCCTGTTCTCACGGCTGTTTTGTTTAAGGAAGAAAAAAAACCCCCTCCATATTCATACGTTTAAAATCTGAAATCATTCCCTCAAGTTCTACACTGATAAAATAGGTCAATCTTTCCAGCACTCAGAAAGACTGGCTGGTGAGGCTGCTGACGGGCATTTCGAGTACTTTGCGGGTGACCCCCCCCCCCCCGGCCCTGCAGCCGGTGAAGGGGCTGTAGGAAACGAGGGAGCCTTCCTCTTCTCCTCTGGAGTAAAAAGGCATCATCCCTCGGCGTCTCGGTGCGCACGTGCCGTGCGTTTGCGTAAATAACCTCTTCGTGGTCTGCACTCTGTCTTAATTTCTCCCCGTGGAAAACGGGCCACCTGAAGCGGTTTAGAGATCAGTGAAGTGTCAACAAACATGACGCCCATCATCCCTGCCCTGGGAGGTCTCGCCGTGAGGACGTGCCCCCGTCTGCATGAAGTCCCCCCCACACCGCCCGTCCTGTCGTTAGAACCTCATGTGCGATCACATGTATCTGTCTTTCGCCGCCTGGCTGTGATCTCACCTGTAACAGGAACCTAATCAACAAAACAAACAAACCAGCAGAATATAACCAGAGACACTGAAATAGAGAACAGGCGGACAGTGACCAGAGGGGAGAGGGGAGGGAATTTCAGGGGGAGGGGGGAAGGGTTTGCAGGAACAAATGTAAAGGACACATCATGGACAAAAACAAGGGGGAGGGGGCTGGGAAGGGGGGAAAAGGCAGAAAACTGTACTTGAACAACAAATTACATTAAAAAAAAGAACCTCATGTGAGTTCTCAAAAGCATGAGAAGGAGCAGGACTTCGCCGAATCTTGAAACAAAATCCACGCCCCCGACAGGACGCCCTCCCGCCTCAGGGTGCGTCACTCACACACACACACTCACAAGCACTCACACACACACACTCACTCGAACGGGGAGCACCTGGACACCGTCCGCCTCCCGTGCACATCTCTGGGACGCGGGGGGTGTCGGCGAGCCCAGAGAAAACCCTCACAGACGTGGATATAGCGTGCGACCTCCAGGCAGGCGGCGGTCCCCGACAGGAAGTAACCCCTTGTCTTCTCGTCAGTGTGATACGCAAATGCCCTTGAACAAGAAGCCACTGAGGACCTGCTGCGGCTGGCAGCGCCGTCACAGTCTGAGGAGCTGCGTGGCCTCACCCAGAAGGCTCTGCCGTGCCCGTGTTCGCAGGCGGTCAAGGCACGGGCCCAGCCTCGAAGCTCAGAGTGGTCACACCACACCGTGAGCCCCCGGGGTGTGCACCGGCTGGCGCGGTCACCGCCGAGTGAGTGGGAAACCAGTATGACGAGAATTTCTTGGATCATTCTGGTTCATACATCTTGAATGGTAACCCTGCATTTTTAAAAGAATCTCATTTTGAAGACATCTTTCAAAACTTTTGTTTCAGAACTCAAAAGACTCACGCTCACTCCCTGGTAGCTTGTTTCTTCGCATTAACATGTTTCTCTTGCGCTGTGACTTTGTGATATCGAGACTCCTACTTGATGGAATGAGCTTCTTACCAGAAGCGTGGTGTTAGGGCGATGGTGAGAAATGAGTGAGTTTCCGGAACATTAGTGAGTTTCAATGTCATAGGTGTCATCTGTCTATTCAGATTCTGATTCTTATTGATTCGGTTTTGTGAAACAACATGGAATTTTCCAGGAAAAACTAGGAATCCTAGGAATGTGTCCATTTCGCACATGTTGTCCAGTTTGCTGGCAAATACCTGTTCACAGTATTTCCTTACCGTCCCCTGTGCTTCTTTGGTGGCAGTTGCTTGTTCTCCCCTTTCGAGTTTGATTGTATTTATTTGGGTCCTATTCTTTTCTTGATGAGTCTGGTTAAAGGTCAATCTTGTTTATCTTGTCAAAGAACCAGCTCTTGGTTTCACTGACCTTTTGTATGACTTTCTTAGATTCTACTTCATTTATTTCTGCTCTGATCTTTATTAGCTCCTTCCTTCTGCCCACTTGGGCTTTGTTTGTTCTTCTTTTGCAAGTTCCTTTAAGTGTCAAGTTAGATTGTTTATTCGTGGTTTTCCTTGTTTCTTGAGGCGCGCGCCTGTGATGCCGCGCCTTTCCCCCTTGGGGCTGCTGTCCCCGTGTCCCACAGATCTTGGGTCCTCATTTTCGTTTGTTTCCAGGTCTCTCTTGATTTCCTCCTCGATCTTGTTGTTAACCCGTTCATTTAGTGACGTGTTCTTCAGCCTCCTTGACTTTGCGGTTTTTCATTTTTCTCCTGTGACTGGCTTCTGGTTTCAGAGCACGATGATCCAAGAAGGTGTGGGGTGTGGTTTCAGTCTTCTTAAATTTACTGCGAACTGTTTTGTGTCCTAACGTGTGATCCGTGCTAGAAAACGCTCCACGTGCAAAAAGGAAGTATACTCTGCTGCCCTGGGGTGAAACGCTCTGGTATGAATTAAACCCACCTAATCTAGCGTGTTGTTTAAGGCCACCATTTCTGTGCCGATTTTTCTGTCTGGAAGATGGATCCACTGGTGTCAGTGGGGTGTTCGAGTCCCCTGCCACGGCTGCATTCCCGCCCACCTCCCCCTTCACGCCCGTGTGCACTGCAGCACTGCGTACAATCACCAAGTGCCCGCTGACAAAGGAGTGCACGCAACAGCCACGAAACAGCTCCACAACGGAGTACTACTCGGCTGTACAAAAGGAAATCTCACGCTTTGCGACAGCATAAATGGACCTGGAGAGTATTCCGCTCAGTGAGGTCAGCCAGTCAGGGAAGGACAAAGAGCACATGAGTGGGATCTAATGAACAAAATAAACTGACAAACGAAACAGAAACAGACTCACAGAGAGAACAGACTGAGAGCTGTCAGCTGTCACAGGGGAGGGGCAGTAGGGGCCTGGGCGAACAAGGGGGGATTAAGAAAACAACTCACAGACACAGCAAACAGTGTGGTGACCCGAGAGGGGGACAGGGGTGGGGGGAGGTGGAACAGGGCGAAGCAGAGACAAAGGGTGGTGGACGGAGACTGACGTGGGGTGACTACAACACAGCCCACAGACCATGTGTTACAGGAATGGACGCCCGAAGCCTATATAATTTCATTAACCGATGTCGCCCAAATAAACTCAGTGGAAAAAAAAATAAAAAGCAGAACATGAAAACCTGCTGCGGGTCTTGCACTTGACCCCGCCCCTGCTCCCCGTGCCCGACGACGGCTGCACACTCTCTAACACCGGTGACTGACACGGGACATCCATGCCCCACGGGCGTCCTCCTGCACGTGAACCAGGAGGCACAGGGGGAATCCGAGGGGGGCTCAGTCTCATGAATGAACGCCTCGCCCCTACCCCCCACCCAGTTTTCAGGGTTCCATTTTCTTCCTCTCGTGTTAAGTACGTCTACGAACCACATCAAAGAATTATTGAACGGTAAATGCAAAACTGATTTGCATTCACTTAAAAACCGTGAACTTCTGTTTCCCTCACTGAAAAGATTTTCCGCCAAGAATCCAGATTCAGCAGCAAAGCCTAAGAGGAAAAAAACACTTCAGGGCACAAACAGCCTGCTACAGGAAGGCAATTACTTTTTAAAAGACTGAATAGTAAAAGGCGACCTGGAGTGGAATAGGAAAGAATGTTACACTGGAATCCTGTAGGATCCTGCTAACATGTCTTCTTGATCTCCGTCTTGAACCCCCAACCCACCACCCAAATTCAGCTAATAAGTGAGAGAGGTTGTTTCTTTTTCAGGCATTGTACCTCTAGTACCAAGTACTTATTGGCTCTCCATGCATACTGCCGAACAAACTAAGGTGCAGTATTGAACAGTGAGAGCAAGCGAGAGAGGACACTTGGTTGCACCATCAACGGTCTACACGGACTGGGTCCCTCAGATATCAAAGCTGACGCCTGACACCGCCACTTACATAGTCTCCGTAGGTCTCCTGCGTCGGGGGCGGCGGCGGAGGTCGGTACCCGGTTGGGGGGACTCCTCTTGCTCTGGGCGTAAGAAGTCCTCTTCCCCGGCTCACTGGCCCCCGGGTGGCCAGGACCCCCCGGGAGGCTGGCGTCCCTCGTGGCCCCCCTGCCCCGACTGGCCGGGCTGCGACCACACCCCTTCCCCTGCAAGCGAGAGGGACAAGAGGGCATTGGTTACTCACCGCCTTCTCGGACATTCTGCTGCTCGCAGGCATTATTCACTCGCTGCTCAGGCCCACCCCCAGCCCACGTTTCGGCGGAAGAGCGAAAGCTGAAGTGGGGGAGGAAGCGGGCGTCCCCCAGAAGATGCCACGTCGCGCCGGCAGCTCTTCCGGCCACAGCAAACTCGGGGGCAGCAGAGCAGCTCTCGGTTTTACGGGGACCCCAAAACCGCCCCAGGAAATCGAGAGAGCCTCTTCAAACTGCACACGCAACCGCAGTTACTGATGCAGCAGAGGAAGTGAAATGCTTGGGTACAAATCAAAGAAAATGTGTGCAGAGACTACGTGGAAAAGTACAAAACTCCGATGAAAGAAGTTCAAGGAGGGGTATCACAGGCTCGTGGTTTCACGAGGCAATATTGTTGAGTTGCCAATCCTTCCCAATTTGAGCTCTAGATTCCACGCAATCCCAGGCCAAGTCCCGGCACGCTGTGCTGTAGACGGGCAAACCTAAAGTACGCGCGGGAAGGTAAACACAGAGGACACAACGCTGGGAGGGAGGACTCACAGGATCCGGCTGCGAGACTTGCTTTAAAGCTGCAGGCGTCAAGCCCACGAGGACTGGCGGAAGGATCAGATGCCCAGATCAGTGGAAGGAAGGGCAGAGCCCAGACCCTGACCCACAGAAGGGCAGCCCGGGGGTCGCTGGCAAAGGAGCAAAGATGGAGACAGGAAAGTCTCTTCAACACAAGGAGCGGGAACAAATGGGTGTCTGCGTGTGAGAGAGAGAGAGAGAGAGGTGGCGGGGGGGCAACCCAGACACACACGCTCCATCTCCCACATAAACTAACTCAGCGTGGCTTCAGACCGCCGTGTGCCGTATCAAACTTGTGGGGAAAACATAAGGGAAATCAGCGTGACCTTGATCTGATGATGAGCGCTAGATACCTTTCGAAAAGCGTGGCCCGTGACATAAAAATGAGTCAGGTGGCCTTTACTGAAACCGAAGACTTCTGGTCTGAGAAGGGCGCTGCGACAGATGAAGAGACACACCCCAGAGGGGGAGAGAGTATTTGCAAAACACGTGTCTGTTAAAGGACTTGCATCCAAAATACAGGAGCTTTTAAAACTCCGCAAGAAGAAGACAAAGAACCCAATCGAAAGTGGGCAAAACACTTGAGCAGACAGCTCACTGAAGACGACAAACGGATTAGCCAATGACCAGAGGAAAAGGTGCTCAACATCATCTGTCATCGGGGAATTGCAAATTAAACCACATACCTCTTAGAACGGCTAAAATCAAAGTAACTGAATGTACCCATCGATAGCGAGAATGTGGCGAGAAGGGTACTCTTCTCCACTGTTGGTATGCGTGCAAAATTGTAAAGCCACTTTTGAAGCTACAGCGCTATAAACACCACCTGGTCACACAATACGGTGACTGCATTCCCAGGCATGTAACCAACCGATCTGAAAACCTACCTCCCCACACAACCTGCATGTGAATTTTGTAGCAGTTTTATCACAGGAGCTAAAACAGCCAAGTCGCCCTTCAGCAGGTGAATGGACAAGCAAGCGGGTGCATCCACACAGTGAAATAGTATTCAGCAATAAAGTGAAATGAGCCAACAGTTAATGAAAAGTTAGGAATGAACTGAAATTCAGGTTTCTAAGTAAAGGAAGTTGGTCTGAGAAGGCTACCCACTGTGTAATTCCAACTGCAGGTCATACAGAAGAAAGAAGACAGATGCGGAGAATGAGAGTGAGTAGTGGGCAAAGGTTCTTGGGAGGAGGCAAGTCCAACAAGGAGGCAGTGGGAACACTTCGGGGTGATGGGCCACCCCGGTGACAGTGCCTGGTGGCTGGCTACGTGACACAGAGCGCCCGCCGAGACCCACAGGACTGCACAGCATGAAGCGTGAACTCCAACGTATGCCTACCAAAAATACATACCATATTTTTCGGACCATAAGATGCACCTAGGTTTTAGAGGAGGAAAATAGGGAAAAAGAATTTGAAGCAAAAAATGTGCTAAAACATTTCATAACATAAATAACATAATATTTCACCCATGTAAATGTAAACAGAACCCAACAGCAGCATTAACAAACATCATTCCTCCCAAATTTGGAGGGGGAAATGGGCGCCTTATAGTCCAAAAAATACGGTCATTGAGGAGACTGAGGTGTCCTGGGACAGAATGTTGATATGACAAACGATTATAATGAGAGTGAAAATATATAAAACCACCTCACCAAAGGAGCTGGGGAATGAGGGGCGTCTGTAAGGCTACAGGCAGAAGGGACAGCGCCTGAGCCCTGTGCCGGCCGACGCGGCTGGTGCCTGGGGGGCGTGGCTGCGCACACGGGTTCACCTCTCTGACTGCACTACACCCAGACCCGCTGCCGAAGAACCAACAGGGGGCAGGGCTGGGGGACAGTGGGGGCCACGTTTCCCATGCTGGAGGGGAGGTTTTCGATCAGCGAGGGGAAGAGGCTACAGGATCGTCAGTACAGAAAGGGTTAAAATCAGAGACGTCAGCGAGAACTCGTGATTAGTCCCTACGGGCAGGCAGCACAGCACAGAAACACGCGCGGCTCTGTGGTGCACACACGTGTTAGTGCGTGTGCACACATTTCCCAGCCCTGCCAGTGGAGGGGCCCAGGGTGTGTGCAAGCACACGCCAGCGGTAACAAGCAGAACTGGCACCCGAATCTGGGTTTAAACGCTGTTCCCCAGTGAAAGGAGCTGGGGCTCCTTGGAGAAGTGGCTGATGCCAGGACCGGAGCAGGAAGTACATACGATGATAATGGAGCAACTTGGAGTACCAAAAAGTAAGGAGGTACTCAAAAAGGAAAAAAAGTTAAAAAATGATGGTGGCATGGGAAAGGAGCAGAGTAGCCAACAGAAGGAATTCCCAAAGGTCAAAGCTGAGACAATTCGAGCAAGAAAAATAAAGTAGTATTGGACTTGAATGCAATGTACAAAATAGATGTCCGTGACTCCATCCTGATATAAATAAAGGGTTGAATCAGCAAGTGGGGGAGAGGGGAAAACCTTCCAAATAGTTTATGTGGACATTCCACCCTGGGGGGGAGGGGAGAGTGACAGGACAGCCGAGATACCTGACAACTACTCACCCCAGGTTACCACGGCAACATCAACAGTGGCTAAACCAAGTGGACAGTATGTGCCCTTGACATCACATGATGAAAATGACATACGGAGTTCCCCAAACCCAGAAGCCCAGGCTAATCATGAGAAAAATATTAGAGAAAGCCCAGAGGAGGGACATCTTAGAAAAAGCCTGACTGGTGCTTCTCAAACTGCCAAGATCAGAAAGATGTGAAATCTAGTAAGACTTTCACCTTCAGATAACTTGCTGTATCCCCTTCACGAGTATTGTAAGTTAAAGCCTTTCTTTTCATTCCTGGCCGTGAACTTGAGCACAGGAGACGGCAGTGGTGGGACCAAGGCCACTGGATTCAGATCTGAGTTCGATTCCTGGCTGCTCCCACCGGCGAACTTCCGCCTTCCACCTAACACTCAGACCAGCCGAGAGTCCGACCTCTCCAGGCCAATTTCCTCGGGCATGCAATGCCATGGGGTGTGGACCCACGTCACAGTTATTGCGAAGCAGAAAGGACATGGGACCTGCAAAGCGTTTGACACCTTTTCTCCCCGACGCACATCAACAATGCATGCAAACAGCATCGCTCTGAACTGTATGTACTGAAAGACACCGTAATTTCTGGAGTGTTTTATTCATCGTCGTATCTCTGGTGAGAGGAAGTAAGTAGTTTCCACCTACCGGGCATCTAGCCCACCAGAGACACTTCTGCTGATCTGTGTATATTCGGACGGAGGCTCCCGCTTCCTTATCCGACACCCTATCTTTGCCATCCACGGTGCCGTGTGGGCCACAAAACATTCCACACGCCTTTGAACGTACGAATTCATGTCTTTCATCAGACTGAAAGACATAAACGTATATGTCTAAGACGTCCCCAGTCTGTCCCCATCGTCACTGACACGGTCAGACCACGGGCCCTGGGGGTATGGAGTCACAGGGAGGCGTCTGCTGCGGAGCTACGGACGGGCCATCTGATGCACACAGCTCCAGGTCCTCTTCTATGGAAGACAGACGTGGAAGCTTCGTTGTACGTGTACACCTGCGGGGAAGGGTCCAGCGACCCGGTCGGCACGGCCTCAGAGCACACTTCGGCCAGCGGAGGGCACAGTGCAGAGTGGCGTGCGGATGTGAAGACCCGTCAGAGCGCGAGGTTCAGGGTCAGGCTGGACAGCGGGGCTGAGAATGGACTGAGAACAGACGCAGCAGCGCCCACGAGATGGGGTTTACGACGGTATCGATGGGAACCGTTTTTCACTGGAAGGGTTTCCTCGAACTGAGAGACGCAGGCACAGGGCAGCTCCGAAGTAGGACATGGGAGAGCACACAGACCACGCAACCCAGCCGAGAGTTTCATAAGCAGAGAAATGGATGGGATCCTGACGGTTCCTTCTGTTTCTGTTTTTCAGCGGAGTGCCGGTGGTTTCGGGCTTTGGGGCTCGAATATAAAAACGGCCTGGAGCCCGGGATGGTGTGGCTCCATGGACTGAGCGCCGGCCTGTGAACCAGAAGGTTGCCCAGTCGATCCCCAGTCGGGGCACACGCCCGGGTTGTGGGCCCGGTCCCGGTGAGGGCGTGCGAGAGGCAGCTGATCAACGTTCCTCTTGCACGTGGATGTTTGTCTTCCTTTCGTCCCCCTTTGCCCCCCTCTAAAAATAGACAGATAAAATCTTTACAAGAAAAGGCCCCAAAAGACTTTTGAAGTGAACAGCTATTTTTGAGCAAACAGGACTGTGAATGACTGAACACAGTATGTGATGATGAACCAGAAGCTCATTATTTAGTCTGTAAGCTAATACCAGGTTTAAGATGTGATGAAAACAAACGCACATGCTTTGGGTTGCCACACACTC